ACCCTTTCTGGAAGTTCGTGTACAAGAATGCAAGCATGTATTCCTGGTGGTATCATATTCCAGACTGTTGCGTACCCGTTGGGAAAAACTACTACAGACCTGATTGTCCTAGACTTGCATTGCGCCACTGAATGCTATTTGTTTCGTACGTTTAGACCACTGATTGCAGGAATGTCACCTTAAGGTTTTGTATGAGGGATATTTCTGCGCACCTTGTTGAAGAATATAATCAGCTTATGTTTCATGAATCATAGCTAGAGCGGACCAAGCATGAGGCTGGCACACCTTTCAGAATATTCCAGTTTTGAGGAAGTACCAAGGATGCGCATTGTGAATGCTCTCTGTACCAATTCCAGTATAAAGTGATCGCGATTGTTTGAACCCCTGTACCCCACTGAACAATATTACAACCTGTGTCGCACAACTTTTTGTGAGACTGAAGTACCGATTCAGGTTGGGATAAGTCCTGAATCCCAATCCAATTTTTCTCTTGCTTTCGCGGTGGCATATCCACCTTGCGAATGGAATTCAAATGAGTATAAATATTGCAGGCCCAAGTCTCTAACCGTAGGACTGAGAGTAAGGGACTTTCTAACAAGAGTCAGATCACTACGAGTCAAGTCGGATTTGTCCGAGACTGCACGACAGTTATCTGTGCAAAAAGACATTTTCCAATTTGAGCACCCGATTTTAAGTGCATAGAGGTCAAATTAGATCATGTTAACGCCAAGTTTTGATCTTGAACGAATATGCGTGCTAGTCGGTCATCTATGAACACGTTTTGTCACACGACCGTGTGTCAACATACACTCGACACAGATTTATCAACGCTATGTAGTGCACTCCATATTTCGAATGCACCTTGTGTGGATCATCTTGTGTCTCCACATTGCGGTTTGCGCAACTTTCTCGCAAAAATACAATCAAATAATTTTCCAAATCATGAACCGTACATAAGTATTTCTGGTCTGAAACAAAATCCAACTCCACGTTTTGTCCTACCAGTCAGTAACTACTGCCGTGGACCGTTCAAGGTAACTATCGTATCAATCGCATAGTTTGCAGTCTAAACGATTTAGTCGCATAAACCTGCCCGGCCAGGCGCACAGAAATCGAAAGCCAGGAAAATGCAGACAATTCGCTGCACAAGCTTCTCGCAGGAAACCATAAGTGTTCGGGTGGAGATCTTAATAGCCTCCATCGACGCAAAGGATTGTGGAGTCCAATCAAACGCCTACGTGACCACAACCAACTCGAGAGTCGTTCGTGGCCTTCATTCATGACATAACAACGTACGAGTTAAAATCCAGCGTAGCAGTTGTCACGGCAAGTTCCCACGCAAATATCTCAAGCTCTCAGTGAATCAACGCAACAGTAAACCAGATTCACTGTGGTTCTCTTCACTATGTATGGTCATCTCACTGGTAAAGGGTGTACATGAATTATCGCATAAGTACGAAAGACTCGTGTTAATATTTGAACAAATGAAGAGCACCAAAACCAAATCATTTTACGAAGGAGTGAAAAAGAGTAAATCCTAGTCATTCTCGCCAGTCCCCGCACTAAAACTTAGACAAAACGCTGGGCTTCAGGCCACCACCTGTGCGTAGTTGCTACAGTTTAGAAGCCGAAGTATTAGGAACTTCAAATGATTAAAGAGGTTAGTGTTGCTCATCGTCATGTGGAAGTTTCAATTTACCGGCATCTTTCTTCACTGAGCTGGTCAATTTGATAGTCCTATCGACTCGTACCTACGTTTTCTTGGCTGTTTTCTTGCAAAGAAGCGTGTTTCAGACTGTGATGTTAAGTTTCAGCAGCTGGGGTAGACATAATCGCAGACCGTGTTCTCTTCTTCATGCTCAAAGCAGATAAAACACAACACGACCAGTGAACAACCGACCAAGTTTCTAGAAACACGCAGTCCTTCCCAGCTGCAAGCAACTATAAGGCTTCATTTCCACTTTAGCCATCAACTGTTTTTACTTGCATCCTGCTTGCTTCGATGCAATATTTGAGGCATCGGACTCCATACTAACTCTACAAATGTCCGTAGTCCTACTACCCACCGGCCAATTACAGTGGAAATTAAGATCGTCTGCGGCAACAATAAAGTTTGCAACTTTACAATTTTCATCAAACTTTTCCACTATTTTGCGTGCTGACATTCTTCTTGACGGCTCCGTCAAATACCTGAATATAGAACAAGTAATCCTGGATTGTCAAGCACTGTTACCGTCAAACCTTCGGTAGACTCAAGCAACAGATAAGATTCCCAGTTCAATTCAAAAATCAAAGTCGGAAATTCGCTACGGTGCTAGTTTTACAAAAGGTCAAGGCAACAAATTTTATACTGACCGAGACAACGTCCACCACAAAAGTACAGTACTGTTGGAAACATTCTAGTGATGCTCATTTCAACACTGGCACCCCAAAACCGCGGTTTCGTCCTAGTTGGGATTTATCAGTTGGAGATAGCCTACGTTGGGCTGGAACTCAGAGCCTAGTGGCTCATGGTTGACGCCGTAAGCACTATGCCACTGAGATTCGCGAGCAACGCTTGATCCAGCGGAAAAGAATTCAAAGTTGGACTTGGAGACTCCGCTGTGGTTGGTTCGCTACAAGCAGCTTCTATTGAGACCTCGGTTCTCTTGAGTTGGACCTCTCCAAGTCTAGCTTTACAGTAGTTTTGTTCTTCAAATAAAATCGGACACCTAAACATGACGTACTGTTGACCACAAGCCACTGAAGTCCAAGCATTTACACGACCGACCAAAATAATTCAGCCAGATGCGATGCAAAGCAAAACGATCGATAGCCCAATCAATCATACTGTAAAACATCAGTCGAGGAGGGGGCGAAACAAAAGAACAGCTAGGGACTTTGGGCGTGCTTTGATAGAACCCAACCGACTGTCGTTTGTCCGTTAAAATCCTTAACCTTGCCACTTATAAAATGGTCATGAATTTCTTCCAAAACACTACCGGGATTGTGGCTACGGTAAGAAGTAGCGAGGAAAAGTATGGACCAGTAAGAGTGAAGTCGTACACAGGACTAAATAACTCAAGACCAACTAGGCAGCAGAAAATATTCCCTTATTACAGCGTAGGGATGGCACCAGATATGAGATGTTAGATGCGCCGCCGCGATGACGTAGACCTGACGTAGACATGATTCAAATAACCAGATCCTGGTTGGTACAACGAAATGGGAATACAAATGCCAAAACCCACCGGTTTCAATTATATACCGTTCCATTTCCGTGCTTATTTTCGTCCCTTAGTTGCCTTTGTGCCATGTTCGTTGTCATTCTTTGACAGGAGAATGTGGGTGAGGAGAGTTTAACGATTATTTATGAAGCGCGCTGCTTTGGAGTAACGGTGAGATGTTCAGACACCGTATTCTGACAAATACCAGTTCTGCAAGTGCCCGACGGTTGTGGGTCTGGCGGTGATTTCAGGTCACTTGTACGATCCGATCAATAAAAAGTATTACATATGAGTGATAGTGGGTGGTGTGTGGTATAGTCGGAAATTCGTCACACAGAGACTCACTCAGACAGCTGTTACACCCCCGGAAAAGCACTGTACGCGCTTTTCATCCTTTCGGGAGTTGTCAGCCGTGTGCATTTCACCACACCCTGGTAAGGCTCGAACCGGCAGCTCGAGAATTTCCAGGTCCGTGGTTGAAAAGACTGAGCTGCGGGGGACGGAAAGGAGAATCCTAAATATGTTAAAAGATTTGATTAGTGCCGCTCACTTTCCCCTGACTTAGACGTTACTGACGTGCAGAGGCCAGGGTAGCCCCTTCACAGCCCCAGCTTGCCAAACTTATGCCGGCAATTAATTTTTGGCAGTAAAAGCAGTTTGATCTGCGTACAGATTACAGTAGTAGGGAGAGTTGCACGGTAGAGGTGGAAATTTGTCACATCTAGACTCACTCAGACAGCCGGCACACGCCCGGAAATGTAGTGTAGTCGCGTTTCATTCCTTCGGGAACCGTCAGCAATGCGCATTAGTAGCTGGGGGCTACCCTGTCCTCTGCACAGGAGTAATGTGTAAGTCAGTGGGGAGTGAGTGACGGTATATCACATTTAGTAACTTATTTACGGTGGTGGTTGCAGTCCCCCGTAGCTAGTGGTCCCAGCTACAGGCTGGAAACAGTCGAGTTGCGGGTTGGTGCCCTACCAGGGTCTGATGGAATGCGCACTGCTGACGATTCCCGAAAGGATGAAACACGCGTGCAGTAATTTTCCGGACGTGTGACGGCTGTCTGAATAAGTCAAGTTTTAACGACGCGATGAATCACTTGTTGTCACAGGCGCCGTGCACGCGTATTTGTCGAACTGGTCCCGGTAAGTGCGAGATTCCAATGCGTTTTGAGCAGAGTTGGTCTCAGTCGGATGTCAAACAATGCGGCAATGACCGTATGAGTAGTAGCAATTTCTCTGATTTCTGCCTTGTACAGCAACCGAATGTGATGTGAGTGGGATAACTGAAACGCACTCAGAGTCATCTTGCTGTACCTGGCAAAATTAACTTGGTCGGTTTTGAAGCGATGCATTAGTGTGCTTATGTTTGACGCTGTTACACGGTTGAGAAGGCTTTGCAATTCTTTCGCAAAAGACCTCAAGTTATGATTTCAAACCTTTTTCCCTGGGAGACGGAGCATACGAGGAGGAATCGACCTGTGCATCTTAATTCACCAGTAATAGCGAACGCTTGTGGAAATCGCAACCAATGTCACAGCTCCGATTTCGTGTCGTCCAAGTTATCTCAGGATTCAACTAGGGCTCGGGCAGCAATGAAATGTCCGGCTGTCAATCTACAACAAAGTGACTCAACTGACACCGTCTGTTCATTAAACTACCAAATTGTAGCCGTTGCTGACAAAGATATTCCACATTGTCTAAGTAATATAATTGCATTAATATGTGTTGATTGACTTAATGTAAGTCCAAGGAGGATAAAAATACTTTGAGACATTCACTGCTTTGCTTACAGTGCCCACCTACACGGTACCAAGTGGGAAAGGCTTCGGTGAGTGTCTCATGATTATCTGTCCTTGAATTTGGTAAACCCAAGGCGTACATAAGCTCTTGTATTTGTTGGTTTTCTGGCTATCTGTGCTATTTCTGTTCATCAATATACATGGGAAAGTGTCAAGCTATTTGTACAAATGATCATTGTTGACCAACCCAAAATTAATCAAAGACTAGTATATCTGATGTTTGATCTACTGCTTTAGAATTCATCGTGACCTACGTGAACACAAAGGAACCAAGGTCAAACCTTCACATTTCACGAACGCCATTTGAGTGTGACAAGGTAACGCAACTATTCAGTATAATTCATTCATACGAATGTAACATATTAATATTGCAGTGACAATTATAGAACAATGAATAGCCAATGCAGCTACTTACTGTGCTTACATCATGGTCGACCACGCAGCACACGTTATTCAACGTGACGTGCTATGTGTTGCTGTAGGGAATGACTAAATTTTTGTAATCGCTCACGCGTTTATCTCCAGGCCTCAGGAGTTTGCCTGTAGTGACCTCCTATTGTGAAACAGGAAATTTCTCGCCTACATGCGCCATACAGTACAAGACGTCGAATTCACCTCAGACCCAATCCATGTGAATCGCACTATTTACCAATGTAACTTGCTGGGTCACGTTCATTTTTGTTTGTTACCAGATCGGCGGGGGTCATGGTTACACCTTGTGTTATTTTACTAACAAGTAATAAGCGATTTTGCTGAAATTTTTCTGAGTCGTCCCGGCGGTTCATAGACCACGTAGTGTTTCTGTCAATCTGGAACATCACCAGAAGGGCGTCTCACCTAAGTGGGATTCTTTGGTGGCACACACTCACTCGGCCGCTTTAAGGGAACCTACCCGTGACCGCTAGCAGGTGGTGTTAACTAGCTGGCAGCTAATGCTTCTGAGCCATGGGGATAGTGGCCAAACGTTCCAACCTGCTATTCCATTAGAATGTGACGTCTTGACCATCATGGTTAACCACTGTCCCCTGTACGAGCATTAAGCTGCATGCGAGTGGTGAATGGGTCCGAATGGATCGCACTTCGATTTCCATCCTTAGGCGCCGTGTGTCGCCGCCCATGGCTCAGTGGCACAAGGGGCTGACAAATAGTGGAATCCACTAAGGGTAATGAGTCCAATCCCAAGCAGGGAATCGACGGAATGCGCAGCAATGCCAAGCAGCAATAGAGCGAACCGATCGTTTGGTGTTTTTCCGGAATAGTTGCTCACTTTTGCAGATTGCAATATAATTGCAGTGAATCAATAATATGTAGATTTCTACCCAATCGACGTTAAGTGCGGAGTGCCCCAGGGCTCAGTACTTGGTCCACGACTATTCCTGATTTACATAAACGATCTCGCGACAGTAATCAACTCCAGCT